TCCAAGTGACAGTTCTTACTACAGTAGACCCACTGAATCAATTGCTGGATACTATGTCAGCACATATTTATTTATTTATTTATTTACTGCATTTATTGACCGCCGCTCTCAGCCCTAGGGCGACTCGCGGCGGTGCACAACATATAAAAACAGTTTACAAAAGGGCAAAACAGGAAATCAATACAACAATAATACACTATAATCTGGTTACACTAAATAATCCGCTCCGTCACATCATAGAATCATAACCAATATCGTAATCCGTATTCCGTTCCAGTTGTCAATTACCAGTTGCCGTAGCGCTCAGTTGAATGCCTTCTCAAATAGCCAGGTCTTCAGGCTCTTACGGAAGGACAGAAGGGAGGGCGCCTGTCTGATGTCAGCAGGGAGGTCGTTCCACAGCCGGGGGCCACCACCGAGAAGGCCCTTTCTCTCGTCCCCGCCAGACGTGCCTGTGAAGCAGGCGGGATCGAGAGAAGGGCCTCCCCAGACGATCTCAAGGCCCTCGTGGGCTCATAGGCCGAGATGCGGTCCGAAAGGTATTTTGGGCCGGAACCGTTTAGGGCTTTGTAGGATAACACCAGCCCCTTAAATTGGGCCCGGTAGCAAATCGGCAGCCAGTGGAGCTGGAACAGCAAGGGCGTTGTATGCTCCCTGCGTCCCGCTCCTGTTAGTAACATGGCTGCCGCGCGCTGGACTAGCTGAAGCTTCCGGGCCGTCTTCAAGGGCAGCCCCACGTAGAGAGCGTTGCAGTAGTCAAGGCGGGATGTGACCAGAGCGTGTACCACCGTGGCCAAGTCAGACTTCCCAAGGTACGGGCGCAGCTGGCGCACGAGCCTAAGCTGTGCAAATGCTCCCCTGGTCACCGCTGAAACCTGGGGATCCAGGCTCAATGATGAATCCAGGGTCACACCCAAGCTGCGAACCTGCGCCTTCAAGGGGAGTGCGACCCCGTCCAGCACAGGCTGTAACCCTATACCCTGTTCGGCCTTGCGACTGACATATATTAATTCCACTGGCTCAATGGGCCCACTTTCTTTCAGACTACTTTATGCCTATATCTCTTCCAGTCTCCTCCTCTCTGATACACAGAAACCAAGCTTACAGGAGCCTTTTGCATTATTAGAACAGTTAAAAATAAAATACTAGGGTACCACCCACATAGATACTATACTGCATAGGAAAACACGAACATTGCATATTTGGTCAACTACGTTACTATGAATGACAAACTCATCACTGAGCAACTGAATCCTCCTGAATAGAGAAGAAAACATGCATGTAGTTTGAAGGCTGTTCTTCCAAACCAGGGGTTCTCAATCTCTGAGTCCCCAAGTGTTTGGGCCTACAACTCCCAGAAATCCCAGCTAATTTACCAGTTGTTAGGATTTTTGGGAGTTGAAGGCCAAAACATCTGGGGACCCACATGTTGAGAACCACTGTTGCAAACCAATGTGGACTCTCATGTGTTTCTGTTTCAGGTAGTGCATGTGGGCCCCAAAAGGTTGTAGGAACTGAAAAATGGCCTTCGGACCACTGCAGTTGCCCACCTCTATTCTAATGCCTCCAATAAGACCACAACATCTGGAAGATCTCAGTTTCCAACTCCTAGTCCAGGTGCCACATACTTCCAAATACCTCTTAATCAAGTCACCTCTGTCCCTATAAGACTTCTGTGTACAAATCAATTTCTGTAAATGTCCAAACTAGACCTCAAGTAAGAAAATACTAGCTTGAAACTGAAGCAGGAAGGCTGACTGAAATGTACAACAGGAGACAATGTTTTGAAATTTTCAATAGGCATGGCACCTATTTCAAATTATGAGAGTAAAGCTATTGCATATTTTCAATAAGTAAACATAATAATCGCTATGCCCTGTTGAGCATAAACATTCAGGTGACTAAGCATATTTCCATAAATTAAACTGAACAAATTTTCTTTGAAACAAGTGCTTCAAGCAACATAATGTACACTAATAGAGGGCAATCCAGAGCCAATGTAATTTTAAGTAATGTCAACATATTCGCTGACCATCAAAGTGACTACTTTGGGAAATGTTCATCACTATCAAATGAAATGAAGAAGGTATTTGACCAGAGTGGAACAGGAGAATTTGAAGCAAACTTTATTCTTAAGCTACAATGTAATTTTTTGTCAGAAATGACTTGATAGCTATGCCAAAGTAAGTTTGATGATGATGATGTAATAATTAATGCAGGAGCAAATGTTCTGTAGTGATTTACTGTGATTCACCTATCTCAATGGAAAAGGCTATTGACTAAAAACCACATCACAGTAATGCAGGTCAGTGGAGGGATTCACCACACAGCATGGTGGAAATTGTTGCCCCGAACCCTGCATTGCCTGTTGCACCTCTTAACTCATGGGGGGGGGGGGTCCCTCCATTCTTCTTTATGGAACACGGGAAGACTCCCATGTTCTCAGGGACATCTCCTAGCACTCTGCTGGGACACTTCTTATACAGTGCTCTACTAGAAGTTGCCTTATGTTGTGTGATGGCATCCGAGGTGTCAGCATTTTGGCAGCGTGCTAGAATGCTCATTTTCCCTGTGTGATGAGGTTGTATGTGAAGCTTTAGGATTTCCTCAAGATGGACAAGAGGCAGTCCCCAAGTTACAGGCATCCGACTTACACATGACTCATAGTTAAAACTGGGGGTGAGACACAAGAAATTAGAGAAATCTACCCCAAGGATAGGAAAGTCATTCCTGTAAGAGTTATCAGAGGAAAAGAGGGTCTCCACTGAAGCTTTATCAACAATCCTTGTTTCCACAACAACCAAAAATTTCAAAATCCAATTATCACAGGGTCAGAAAGCGAGGTGAAGTCTTCTGAACAGGGTCAGATAGCCAAACAAACACCACAGGGGTGTTAAACCCTTTCCTATGCTATCCAAAGCGCTCACGCTCTAAAGTGTAGAGGAAAAGTGAATTTCCAATCATTCACATTTCTGGTTCTCTGAAATCAGTTTTTACCTGGTTTGTGGCTTAATAGAGGCAGCATTTCATTTCCTAAAAAATAGAAAGGCTGCACTATAAGACTTCTAGAATATCAACGGATTTTCTCTAAGGAGGGGCCATTATTCTAGATTACTTGTCACACAGCTCCCTCTGCTGGCTCTCCATGTCTCATAACAGAATGATACTATATTAGAAAGTGATCTACAGGAATTCCAAAATCCTCTGAAGGAAAACAAATATTTGTTTGGCATTGCCACAATGACCTGAAAGAGATTAAAATATGTATATCATGTTTCATTGGCCTGAAACTTTCCTAAATATAAATATCAAATTATTTATTCTGTTTTGTGATAAAATCCTAATGGAAAGTGACAGACAGCAAAGGTTTTGTTTGTTTGTTTGTTTGTTTTCACATGCTCCTGGTGGTAAATAAATACTTTAACAATGCAGCATTTACTAATAATGGATAAGCAAGAGTCCATTTGGCTTTTGGTTCTAAACTTCCAATATGTGCAGTTAAGCAGCTTCTGCCTATCAGAACTTCAAAAAGTAGCTTTTTTTTTTTTTTGACTCAAACTTCTACATTCATATCACAGAACCATTCTGGAAACTGTAGTCCAAAAAAATAATTTTTCCAAAACATAATGATTTTGAGATTGGCTAGGTAATTTATCTGTTTAATTGCACCACAAGATTTTTGGTCCTAGTACATCATAAAAATGAATCAAGTCACAGTACACAAGAAGGCTGATTTACTCCCCCCCTCTCCAATTGGAAAAGGTCCCCCTTTGTGACACATTTAAAATAATTAGAAACATGGAGGATGTTTCAAACAAATATTTACAGAGTTTATTGAATGGTGAGTGGTTTCAAGAAACATGTCTTCCCAATATTTTAGTTATATTATCCATCAAACATATCACAGCCAAGTATCTGTATACAGGCAGTCCCTAAGTTACAAACATCCAACTTACAAACAACTCATAGTTAAGGATGGGGGTGAGAAAACAGGAAGTGAGAGAAATCTACTCCTCGGAAGGAAATTCACTCCTGAAAGAGTTATCATGGGGGAAAGAGGTCTCCACTGAAGCTTTATTACAAATTCTTGTTTCCATAGCAAGCCATTTTTTTTTTCAAAATCCAATTCTCACAGGGACAGAAAGCAAGGTGGAATTTTCTGAAGAGGGTCACAAACAGCAAAACAAACATCACAGGGGTGTTAAGCCCTCCCTATGCTACCTAAAGTGTGTGTGTGTATAAAGGTAAAGGTTTTTCCCTGACATTATGCCCAGTCGTGTCCAACTCTGGGTGCTCATCTCCATTTCTAAGCCAAATAGCCGGCATTGTCCAAGGTCATGTGGCTGCCATGACAGCATGGAGTGCTGTTACCTTCCCATTGGAGCAGTACCTATTGATCTACTCACATTTCAGGGTTTTCAAACTGCTAGGTTGACAGAAGCTGGGGCTAACAGCGAGAGCTCACGCCGCTCCCTGGATTAGAATCTGAAACCTTTTGGTCAGCAAGTTCAGCATCTCAGTGCTGAACTATATATGTGTGGGGAGGGGGCTGGTATTACACTTCACATGTATGTATTCCAACTTACAAAAAAAATCAACTTAAGAACAAACCAACAGAACCTTTCTTGTTTGTAACTTGGGGACTGCCTGTACAGCTTTGCCATAGAAATCAAATAGATCAGTAATTTATTTCTGTACAATAATACAGTATTTAAAACACTGTCACTCACGTTTGCAATACAGATGTTAAGGGTTTTATGAAAAAGAAAAGCACCAGAAGATAATTATGACAATTCTCCAAAATAAAAGGCACAGTTACATTTTTTTTTTCTTGAATCCATGTTACCACTTACTAGACCCACACTACACCTCACTGGGGGGGTTGTATCACATGAAACATGATGGAACATACTGAACATTTCAAAAGAAACAAACTATAGTTAATATAGTAATGACCTATACAGTTCCGGCCCAGCTTATCTGTCTGAACATATCTCCCTCTACGCCCCACCTCGTAGCTTAAGATCATGCAGGGAGGCCCTGCTCTCGGTCCCGCCAGCCTCACAAGTGCGCTTGACGGGGATGAGGGGCAGGGCCTTCTCGGCACTAGTCCCACGCCTGTGGAACCCACTCCCCAGCAAGATCAGGTCAGCTTCTTCCCTCCTTTCTTTTAGGAAGAAGGTTAAATCATGGCTCTGGGATCAGGCCTTTGGACAGCAAGCATGATAGCACCTTGGATGTTGAACTGGGCTGGGCTGAAATTGGCTATATGGTTGATGACAATGTTTTTAACGTGTTTTTAACATAATGATTTATTTAATGCTTTAAACTGTTGCTATTTATGTTTAGATTTGTATTATATTGAGGCTTCGAATTGTGGCCAGTTTGTAAGCCACTCTGAGTCCCCCCTCGGGGGTTGAGAATGGCAGGAGAAAAATACTGGAAATAAATAAATAAATCTACAACAGTGATGAGAAAATAAGGAAAATGCTCCAAAAGCCATTTTCAAGCCTCCCTACTGCTTTCCACGCTCCCAAATCTATAGCAGTCCAATTCATAGTCTATGAATTTTAGGGGTTGTTACTGGTGGCCAGGAGATCAATCTTAGTTGTATTTGTTCAGTGTTTTGATAACTAAATAATCACATTCTATTCTATAACATACCATACTGTCTACATCTGTACAACCCCATTTATGATATGATGATCTGCTTAGTCCAATCTTATTTTGCTTTATAACTGTTTGTGTTGGAACAGATGGACACATATCAACAAGTGAGACACTCAGGACTGAGATTCTTCATAGAAATACAGAGTCTACTGTTGTCAAAGTAATTTCCCTTTCTTTCTGCTCTCAGCAATATGCAATACAGCTCAGTTTATCAACTGTATGAGCATGCTTCCGGAACCCAGACTACTTGACATTGGAAATACACTGCTTGAGTGACACTTAAATGGCAAACAACCTGAGTAGTTCAACACTTGGCCCAAGCGGTATTGCTTCAGTTATGTTCAGAAACCAATATGATGCAGTGGTCGTATCCAAGTGGTGGGCCTCTAAATAGTTCATTCATCTCTCTGCCGTGCAATCATAATTTTCGAAAATGCGAAGTTATGTCAGAGATCAGATAGTTGATAGTAACAATCAGTTTCTTGAGCCACACTATAGTGATGCTGTCAGTCTCAAACATGGGAGCTTTGTTACAAAGTGAGCAATTACTCTTTTCAATACCACCATGTCAGCAGATCATTTGAACACATGCTATTTTCCTCAGTAGTATCATTCCACTCTTCATTACTGCACTTTTTGTAGATAGTAGCACTGTTTAAATAAATGGGTTTTCTAGCTGTTTCATGAGTTCTTCAGCAAGGAGACTATCAGCTATAATCCCCAAAGCCATCCTCCTAACCTCAAATAGCTAGTCTGAAATCTGAAATAGAAAAGTAAATGAACAAAAAAGCACTACTTACATGAGACGTGGGGGGAAATACAACCAGAAATCAATTGCAACTCTTTCAGTTTAAAAAAAAATCATCTCTTTCAGACACACACATGCTAGAGATAACAAAAGTATGTGATGTCACACGACCAATACCTGTTGAAACTGGGGAAACTTTCAAAAGCAGCTGCAGCTATGCACTGGGGAGCTGTGGCGTACCGAAAACATTCTTGCTAAATCAACATTTCATTTACACATTTTAATTGAGCAGAAACTACATCCTAAATCATTTGTTAACATTTTTAAATAAGCTGTCAAACAGATACAGGAAAGCCACTTGAGCCTAACCAAAATAATTCAAAGTATGTAACATTTGGACTAGTACACTGCAACCCCTGTACCCATGGGAGAAGTAACAATGTTTTTACGTATGGACATGATTTTACATATGGATTTTACGTATGGGGAGAGTGCTGATGAGCTCTCTCTGTTAGCTCCAGCTCCCCATGTGGGGACATGAGAGAAGCATCCCATAAGGATGGTAAAACATCAAAACATCTGGGCATCCCCTGGGCAACGTCTTTGCAGATAGCCAATTCTCTCACACCAGAAGCAGCTTGCAGTTTCTCAAGTCACTCCTGACACAAAGAAAAAATCAGAATGGTTACCTGGCAAGCCTCTGTGATCACAAAGCTTGGTTTTCCAAGGCTCGTCAATGCACTCTAGGTGTGCTGACCCCTTCAGTTCCCCCAAATGTGGAACCTGATTGCATAATTAGGGCTCACCATTATCCACACTTTCATGTTTCTGTGGTAAGTTCAGAATTGATAATACAAGAACTCCAGAAAGGTATGGGAAACTCAATATTATTATTTTTTTTAAAAAAATTGACCAAAAACTGCACAGTGAATTAATGCCATACAGTAAGACTCAAATCTGATGCTTTTAGGAAATCTCATGCCACAGCGTGGGAAAATCCGTGAGATAAGTTTCAACTGCTGGTTCTCTGCATATTTCTCTGACAATAAACCTCACTGAACACAGAGAGATATTTGCACTTGTATAAACATCCACATATTTACTATTCTGACATTATTTCTGTATATATCACAGGGGAGAAGTGAAGCAATGCAAAACACACTGCCTGCCTGGCTATCAGCAAAATGCAATTTATTTAATGTGTACAGAAGACCCTAATATTGCTTACTTTTCTCTTTCTAATATGGTATTTCTACCTATTTTCCTTCTTGAGTTTCAGCTCCTTGACATCCATTTGATTTTTCTCTTCCATGATGTCGGAAGGATGAAAAATAATGCTCCAGTTAGTAAAATCTTTGCAAAGCTCTCGACCACAATACCAAAATATGAAAGGTCCTACTCTTCAGATTCACTGACTTCAGAGGTGCATGACTGCTATCTTCAAAGCATAAAACTGCAAGTCTCTGGTGCCTCAAATCTACTTTCACTGAAACACAAAAATATAACATTGGAAAGAATATCAATTATTCCATGCCAATTAACTCTCTGCCAATGCAGGAAATTCAGTGTAAATGTAAACCAAATACAGTGTCTGCTAAAGAAAAAGAAAAATGTATTGTCAAAGGCTTTCATGGCTGGAATCAGTGGGTTGTTGTAGGTTTTTCAGGCTCTATGGCCATGTTCTAGAAGCATTCTCTCCTGACGTTTTCCCTGCATCTATGGCAAGCACCCTCACAACCTCTTAGGATGCTTGCCATGGATGCAGGTGAAAAAAATCAGGAGAGAATGCTTCTAGAACATGGCCATATAGCCCAAAAAACCTACAACAACCCAAAAGAAGAATGCCTTCCAAGTACACAACTCTTACCATCATGAAGTCCTTCATAATGCTCAGTTGAAATCCCCTTTCTTGTTATCTGAACTCAGTGATTCTAGTCCTGTACTTTGGAGGAGAAAAAAACAAACAAATGTGTATCATCTTCTACGCAGGAGCACTTAAAACATGGCTATCAATGACCATCTATCAATTGTTTCGTCTCCATTGTGAAACACGCCCAGATTTCTCAAAGGGCTTGGCTCCCCGACTCTTTATCTTTATCACATTCCTCTGGACATATTCCAATTTGTCAATATCTTTCTTAAGCTGGGATGCCCAGAAACTAGATGCAGTATCTCTGATAAAGTCTAACCTCACTAAATATGTATATTACTTTTTTTTATTGTGTCAGAAGCAACTTGAGAAACTTTAAGTCGCTTCTTGTGTGAGAGAATTGGCTGTCTGCATGGACGTTGCCCAGGGGGCACCCTGATGTTTCACCATCCTGTGGGAGGCTTCTCTCATGACTCCACATGGGAAGCTGGAGCTGACAGATGGGAGCTCACCCCACTCTCCGGATTCGAACCGCCGAACTTCAGGTCAGCAGTTCAGCTGGCACAAAGGTTTAACCCATTACATCACCACGGCTCCTTATATTGCAGGATATCATTATGTATATGAAATATGTTCCTTTTTAAATAGAAAATGAAAAGCATGAAATAAAATCAGTGCAAGAAATCCGTGATGGTTGCATTTCTTTTAACGATTCCCAACATGTAAAATAGCAAACATACATTTTACATACAAATTTATACTTCTAAAGGTATGAAACATAGATTCCTGGAGCACATTAGCACATGTATCTTACACTTTGGGCAAGCCTTTCAGCAGATTTTGTCCTACTTATTATGACGTTACGACATCCCAATTTCAATCAGCAAATTACATCTTCCATTTAATAAATGTTACCTTTTTGTTCACTTTTTAAAACTTGCCTTCAGTTCATGACACATTTTTTTCTAGAAATGACTTGTTAAACAAACGGGATCTGGAATGTAATAAGGATCTTAAATAGCTTGATTAATGAGGCTTCTGCATACCACTATTTTCATAATTAATGACTTCTTGCATTAAAAATCACACCACAACGAATGACTGGTTATGTTAAGTACATAATAGGGGTGTGCAAAACTTCATTTTTAATTAGCAAGTCATATCTAATTTCTAAGTTTCACATATTCAAATGGATATTAAAAAAATACAAGGGAGCAGGAACACAAAAATCAAAACTCACCCAATATTCTTTCGTTTGAATTCTGTAATGTTTGGAAGCCTATCAAAGTCACTTTCATTTTCCGTACAAGAGAGGCAAAGCCAAAAAGGCTGCCATCCTATTTAAATTAATGGCCTCTTGCCATTAGGATAGAAAAGCAGTAGAGCGGGACAAGCTGAGTGAGCTGGGAAAGAGACTGAGAGAGCACAGAATTCTGAGAAACATAGTTTGGGAAGGCGAGGAGCCCTAGGACAGAGAATTTAAAAGGCCCTGCCCTAAACTACATTTCCCAGAATTCCACTCACCATCAGACAGCTCCAATTCGGATAGGGGAGAGATTTTTCCCTCCTAACAGAGTTCCAATAAATGGTTGAATCTGCAAAGAGGAGGACTGACTGATACTTCAATATAAGTAGATCGGTGCTGGGTTGGGAAGAAATCCCCAAACTGAAATTCTATTAGTTAATATGGGATACATTCAATGAGATAGCTGTGGCTTTAAAAAAAAGAAAACCAAACATTTTTGTCAAAACCTTTTTAAAATTTCCCAAAAATCAGTAGATGAATATTTCTGAAACTTGGGGGGAATTATCTCCTGTTATCTTGTGTCCATGTATAGAAAATTCAAGGAGATAGCTCTTTGTGGTTTTTTTTAAAATG